ATATGTTTTTTGCGTAACGCATGCATTATCCAAGTTTCGAAGCTGCGAAGAGGAAACTGTGCTCATTAATCTATACGTTGATTTCCAGTAACATTTACTGGCGATATACAGTGTACACACAAAGTGATTGCAGAAATTAGGTGTGTTTTTTTGCACTATACTGTTCCAGATCTGTTATTTCTGTCAAAAATTATTCGCTCTCTCTCTGCTCAATGTATTTACATGTGTTCGAATAATTCTGGCACTCCTTCTGGACATCGGTATTGCCCTACGCTTCGGTGGATAATGAATCCGTAGTGGGAAATGAGAAGTGCCGAATTTATTGGAACTTTTCAGGAAGCAATGTAGGGCAAACAGTCTTGAAGTCCAATGAAGAAATCAAATTATCTGAGGAATGGTTCTCTTCAAATGGATTAGTTTTGAACATGGAGAAGAAAACGTTCATTAAATTCAATTACATAAATAATAACCTCGACCACAGCTTGGTGCTGAAATCTAACGACAGATCTAGCACTCAAGCACCTTCTACGAAGTTCCTTGGGCTGTATGTGAATGAACGCTGTACATGGACTACCCATATAAATGAAGTGTGCAAAAAACTAGCTCCGAAGTGTTATCTCCTGTACTAACTCGGGAAGATCCTCGAAAAATCTGTATTGATGATAATATATTTTGTACATAGTCAGTAATGACATATGGAATCGTAGTATGGTGGAATCACCGTCTCCAAAAACAAAACGTTGCCTAAAATACATGGCAATAACCTTGTTTAATCATCTACCAAACTGCTACAAAGATCTTTCTTTGAATGAATTAAAAATAGTAGTCAAAAATATCTTATTAAAAAAAGCGTACTACTCTATAAGTGAGTATTTGGGAGACACAGATTTCAACTGATTTTATATTTTATCAAACCACTAGTTTTTATTGCTTTTAGATATTGTTATGTATGATCTGTTATCTGTAATCTGTTGTATTTGTATAAACGAAAAGACATAATCTCAAGAATTAATAAATTATTATTATTATTATTCATTCCCCACCCTCAGCAACTGGGGTACATGATCTTCTGCACAAAGGATTTTCATTCTCCAGAATTATAGATGGAATGGCAACAGTCATGGTCTGTATATGCATATACGAGGGTGGTCTAAAAAGTTTCCGACCTAACAAAGATACAAGACATTTTTTCAGTTTTTTTATCTTTCAATATAGTCCTCAACTAGTTCGAAAAACTTGTTGATGAGTGCCGACCATAGAGCCGTTATATTTCAAAAAAATCATCTTTATCTTGTACCTAAATCATTCAATGAGTTGGACATTTCAATAAGAAATTCGTCTAATATTTCAATTTTTAGGACACGATTGGAAACATATCTCATAAAAAAAAACTGCTTCACTATCGGGGATTTTTTGTAAATCAATAATTCTCCACTCTTACGTGTATTATTCATTTTTCAAGTGTTGTTTTACCTTTTGTCTCATATTTTAGATTATTAGTAATGTTTTTAATTGCATTATATCATGGTTCACACCTTATGGACGTCTTCCTTGTTACTTGTGTACTATTTTGTGAAGGAAATGTTTTACTGTAAAAAAGTATTATTATTATGACCAGCGAATAAGCCTGATTTAGTCCTCCTCGACTATCAAAGAAAGACGATATTCCTCGTGGAGTTTTTATCTCCGTGTGGGGCTAATATCTCTCGATAAGAGAAGGAATAACGGTTTAGAACTACGCAGACTCTATCCAAACGACTCTGTTTAGATGGTTGTTCTAATTATTGAAGTCCTCGCTACTCTCGAGACTGAAAATCATGTCGACTTGCTGCACCAAGGCAGAACTCTTGGCCGGACAAATGCAGAAAGCTGTCATTCTTGGCCTCACTTATCTCACGGTGTGTTGAGTGGTCTTTTTTGGGTGTTCGGGCACAGGACTAGGCCAGCACAACCTCCATGGTGAAGAGGAATGAAAATAATCATAACTTTATTGTCCAACAGTTAGCCATTTATAGGATAATGCAAAGGAGATGCGAAAAGAAGTAGATGAAAGAATGTTACTCCTCATTTGTTAGATTAGGTATAAGTTTATGATTTCTAGATATAAGATCCTGTCAAATAACCTTCATGCCAGTGGAATGAAATGTCGGGAAAAATCTAAAGATCTTCTCAGACTAAAGAATACAAATTGAGGACTGGCAACAAAACTACTTGCTGCTGGAACTGGAATATATCTACTTCTGTGAATGATCTAAGGTCTCCGAGGTCAAGGAAACTGCTAGTTCCTTGACCTCAGTATAAAACACTTCAACCTCAGTACAAAATACTCCAAAGTAATGGTACTATCAATGTAGTATATCGAGTAACTTTGTGTACTGCCTTCTCCGAAAGTTACGAGTAAATCCAATGCATTATTTTAGATATGGGATTATAAGAACATCATTTTGAGAATGTCCGGCGTAATAAGATCTTTCACACACTTTCCATAGATGATTACCCAGTAATTAGCCGTGAAACTTTCGTTGTACACGAAGACAATGGAAGTTCAATGTATAATAACGTTGTCATTATCAAACTTGATATGAATATCTTGAGCTTTGTTTACTGTAACCGTTTTTTCCGTCATTCGAACTAATAACATCTCTTTTTTGTTTGTGGAGTTTGACACAAGAAAACAACACCTCTTTAACAGGTATATTAACTGAAGGTACGGTTATGTGAGCCTGTAAACTCCCACACGACGTTTCCCAATTTCCTCATAGCTTCGAATCCTACCCTGACTTTCGACCTATTTCTCTTTCGACGTAGTCATCCCACGTGTAGGTATCGATTTTATTCTTTTCCGAGAGGAAATTATCCTACTTTTTTCAATATTCTACACTGCTCCACTTTCTAGACACGTGCCGTTGGATTTTGAAATACTAATGAAACGTTTTTACTCATTTAACGCACTGTGGTCCAGAGCCTAGGTATTGCATTGTAATTTGGAATCCATTATTGCATCATGTCTTTCACTCAGCGTTATTTTTAGGCAATCATTTTAATAATCTTGAGTTATTTTAACATCGGTTCTTGTTCCCGAAATGTCGGTACGAGCCAGTTAGAAATTATAGATGAGTAGTGGATAATTTTCCAGTCAGTGGCGTACCTCTTTTGAGATAAACAAGGAACTAATAATAATAAACAATAATAATGGCTTTTGATGGTTCCATTCAATTACAACCAATCAAATGGCAGGATTCAATATCTGCGTATGATGAATCATCGCAGAGATTGCTCTTCCATCCAACCGTAGGAACAAAAAAAAGAGAGAAAAACAAAAAATAAACAGTATGCTATCTAGAACAGTGTCGTTACTTTTGCACAACTTATTATTCCGGGAGAATTTTGTATATTTTAAATTCCTTCCGGGGGCCGGTAGATTTTAATTTTCAGAGCTTAAGTCCGGGAGATTCCCGGAATTCCAGGAGAGGTGGGAACCCTACCTGTGAGGGTGGGAAATCCTATATCGGTGATACTAAGAGGCCACTAAAAGTCCGAATTGTCGAGCACAAGAAACACACACAGCGAGGGAAAACCAGCAAATCAGGAATAGCAGAGCATGTTTGTATCCATCAATATAACATCGAGTGGTTTCAAGCTGAGATCATACACAGGGAGGAACACTGGTTTAGCAGGAAATTCAAAGAAGCCGCAGCCAAGCTGGCGTAGAGATACGCAACATATGGAAACCCATAATCAAGCGAAAAATGGCCAACGTCCGCCAAGCGGTCATTCACCGCTACGGAGAATACGTTGATTTACAGAGCCAATTTTGAACCCGGAAATTCTCAGCACATGTATTACTCTTGGATGCTAATTCTGATTATTGTCAAGTATTTCTGTTTCTTCTTCGACTGCATATGGAGGAACATTGGTTTGCACTTCAAAAAGTAAAACCTTATCAATACTTAGCTGGCAAAGTTTCGACTTTTGAGGGTTGTGGCTCGTAGAGGAGGCAGTTGGTTAACGGAAAAACGGTTAACACATTTTAAATATTTCAACTTCTAGTTGTAATGAATATTTGAAGGTTTTTTATATATTTGACTTACATCTTCACTGTGTAGAAATTCAGCTACGCCTATGCTACTAGAAACCGATTGGTTTTCGTTTTCTTTATCCAACAACACACCTTTATTGTCATGTTTATGGAAGGTGCCGTAACAGCCTGGCGAAGATGGGTACTGAACATCTATCAATGAGCATATTTGACGAGATGGACACCAATGAAAAAAGAGATGAATGAATTGAGAAACTCATTGAAACTGTGTTAACGAAAATACTATGAATTATTAAACATATCTTCACCATCACCCAGGTGTTTCAAGTTATTAGTACAATTTGGTAATATCTCCGAGGATATCTCTCTAACCTCACTTTACAAGTAAACAAACACTACTTACTAATATAGTTTACTATGATAACATGATAATTAAATCAAAACATTTGGTTTTTCAATCAATGTGTACTTGAAACTTTTTCTATCGCCTTACTAGATCACTTCGCGTACAGCACTGTAACGTCCACTCAACTGTGTGAATGTCTAGTCTATCGCCACTTGACTGTGTACTTGACTGTCCCGATATGCCTGCCGCTAGCGCTTAAATATCGTAATCGAACATCGTAGAAATTTCGCCAATGTTCTGTCGACATCGGAAGCATTATTCTTGCTGCTTCTCGAGTGGCGGGGAATCATTGTACATTCCCACGCTCTTAGCTACGTCACGTTTGGTTTATGGTTACCAGTGGCGGCCGGCGTTACTTTCTTTCGGGCATGATCTACAACAGGAAAATAATATCAATTAACTCGTGTTTTCGAGAAAACCAATATCGATGCATCAGTGACGCCACTGTAGCAACATAAGTCAACTCCTAATTGGTCATTTCATGTTCTTTCCCTTTCTGACGTTGATGCATTTGATGCTAGGGAATAATTGACACCCTATTTGTTTTTGTTTCAGACGGTCGGTGAATATTCCTGCCGATGTAATCACTAAAGGACATTCCTCCGCATCACGTAGTCAACTCGACACATCACATTCAAAGGCTGACGTAGCAACTAGTAACAATGACGACCGAAGAAGAGCATTTAGAAAATCACAGGATGTTGGAGAAATCCAGCAACAACAACGAATTACCTGAAGAACGAACAATACTCACTCAACCTACGCGTGACTTTCAACACAAAACAGAGTGCAATAGAAACCTTAGAGACGATGAGAGTGAACCACAGTGCGGTATAGGTCCCTGTACCTCAAACTGGCTGCAGAGGTTTGCTTCGAAGCAAGCATTCCTGTTTGTGTTTTGCATCGCTTGGGTGCTTCAGGGCATGTACCACACGTATTTCGTTAGTGCAATAACCACCATAGAAAAACTGTTTCAAATTCAGTCGAAGGTAACCGGTATTATCATGAGTGCCACCGAAATCGGACAAATAGGATCTTCTTTACTATTAACTTATTACGGGGGACACGGCCATAGACCAAAATGGATCGCGTTTGGGATGATCCTTTTCGCTGTATCATCTTTGACGTGCTCCTTACCTCATTTCATATACGGAATCGAAGAAAATGAAATCAGTGGGATAGCTAATGACCCAAATGTCTGCAAAATCAACAACGGAAGCGATACCTCATTTTTGTTGAATGATGCCGTGGATATTACTAGCCAAGGGACGTCGAAGACTAATATTGTTCTCGCGATATTCTTCATCAGTTTGCTTGGGGTGGGAATGGGACAGACTGCAGTCTACACCTTGGGTATTCCCTATATAGACGATAATGTTGCCAGCAAGGAGTCACCAATTTATTTTGGTAAGTAAATATTTTTGAAACCGTAAAATTTTTGCTGATTGGTTTTGGAAATACTGAATAGGTCCAATACATTTTAACTTTCCACTTCATGTCTAAAGATACTTAATTTTTCACGTTACGAAATAAATTCAATACGAATTTTTCTTTGCGACTACGGATATAGCCATAAAAATACAGTGTGTAACAACGAAAACTT